CTTCTAATGATCTTATGATTACTAACTGTAACTTGTGTCTCCTATTATTTTAACATTTAATGGGATGGAATATCATTCTTGTTATGCCTGTTTGATACACAAGCGTTGTACACACTGGCGGTTGGAACAACTTTCAGATGGACTGATGACATCTTCACTTTCATTTGTTACAAGAAACAGCAAAATCTTTGACTCAAGGTTCAAGTACAATTTAAAGTGACTATTTCAATTTGCAGATTATAAATAGGGCCATAATAAGCACTGATGCAAGAATCTTAACAAGAAAGTACCTTAATAAATTTTGTCCTTGATGGCACAGTGGCTCAGTGGTTAGCACTGCTGCCTCACAGCATCAGGGACCTGGGTTCAATTCCACTCTTGGGCGACTGTCTGTGTGGAGTTTGCACATTCTCCCCGTGTCTGCATGGATTTTCTCTGGGTGCTCCGGTTTCCTCCCACAGTCCAAAGCTGTGCAGATTAGGTGGATTGGCCATGCTAAAATTGCCCATAGTGTTCAGGGCTGTGTCGATTAAGTGGGTTATAGGGGATGGGTCTTGGTGGGATGCTCTGAGGGTCAATGTGGACTTGTTGGGCCAAAAGGCCTGTTTCCACACCGTAGGGATTCTGTAATCTGTGATTATTATCAGCACAAAACTGAACGAGAGCTGCAAGAACTCTATAAACTTCTCACTCAGGAGTTCTGATGTCAAGTTTGAGTCCCAAGAGACGTTCATCCATGATCACTGATTCTGGCACATCCAAATAAAAAGAGTGGCCTCTTCCAAAGTAAACACTCAAAAACAGAGAGAAACTGAAAGAGGGGGAAATCATGTCAAAAATTGAATCATCTGTGGCATCCTGTCCTTTCTACAGCAGAATCTTCAGGGCGCAAAATCAGTTTTTAAACAATCATCTAAACACTCAGTGGAACTTGATCAACCTCCCAAAATGATTTACATGGTCATTTAATTTCACGTGTCAATCTCAAAATACTTTTACCTGAAAATTCACAGTAGTATTGCTATTTTCAACTAGTGTTTCTTTACAAAACATAATGGTCCAAACTTTTAAATTATCATCTTGGTATAATCATGAGGGTCCACTGTCTTTCCGTCTTGCAACTGTTAAGTATGGAACTCTTGAAATTGTCATCAATACTTCCTGCTGCTCTACAGGATGCCAACAAAAATTTTTTAAAACCACTTAACTTGACATGAACATTTAATTCTTACTCATAGTCTTATCAAAAAAAAACCTTGAAAATGCTGAGCTGTGTTTGAACTGGCTCACTAAGTCATAATGACTTTTGAACAACCTCCCTGCTCCTGAAAATAAATTTAAATTTGTGGAAAGTCAAATTTCTCCATGACAAATTTGAGAACATTAAAAAACACATGCTTTAAAATTTGTTATTATAATTTCTAACTCATTCCCATGTGCAAGGCCCAACTTTTGCTTTGCTTTTTGAAGAAAGATGCTGTATTGAAGGATAATAATACTTTATACTTTCTGGTTTATTGAGACAGTTATTCACTACGATTCACTACTTAGCCTGTTTGATGACATCGTGGGGCCAGATGCCAGAGATCTCCATAACTGACACTCGAATGTAAGTAACATTAGGCAAGGTGAAATTCATGCCAAAGATCTTAGATCTTTGTGGACAAATTTCTTGAAGGTCAGGGATAAGTGATGTTACTGACAAATCTGCACCATTTCTTTGACCTTTGAGCTACCTTTTATGCAGCTTCTTCCATCATATGAAATTGCACTTCCTATCTAAAACGCTAGTTTCAAAAAGTTCCACATAAAAGAAGAAATCATCCATCACGGAGAAAGTGTGAATGAACACGAACATTCCTGAAAAATAATCCAAAGGTAGAAAAATCTTTTTTACTTCAATTGAAGTCTGAACGTGAAGTCAAATGGCAGTTCCTTCATGTTGTCCAAAGCAGTAATATCTCAGTAACCACAATCTCTGCAAACCACATTTTCTGGAAAGAATAAGTTGTGGGCGAGTGACTCACATCTACTTACTCTCCTGCTTTGGAGAATTGTTGTACTCTCTGATATAGGTATCAAGTGAGTTATTATGAAGAATACTTCAGGATTTTGATCCAGTGATATCGTGATGGATCAAGATGGACAATGACTTGGAGGGCAATTGGTGGATGAAGTTGTCCCCATTCGTGTGTTGCTCTTGTCAAAGAATCCACAGCAAGTTCCTAAGTTGCATCTTGTAAGTGGTATATACTTCAGCCACTTTCTGCTGATGACAGAACAAGTAAATGTTCGTGGCAAATTGGGTGCCAAATAAGTGAGTGCTTTGTCTCGAAATTGTCAAGCTCATTGAGGTATACAGCAAATATTCTAACACACATGATTTATGCTCCGCAGTTGGTGGAAAGACTTCCCCAAGTCAGGTGATGTGTCACTTGCTGCAGAACACCAAACCTCTAGCTCTGGAAGCCAGGGTAATTTTATGCAACTAGTCCAGTTAACTTTCTGATCAGTGGTAGATTTCAGGATGTTAATGCTTGTTCAGAGATAGTAGACAATTGGTTAGACTAGGCCTGTCCAACTGGCATCCTCTGAGCTACAATGAATTGACAGACCAGCCACTGGCAAAGTGGGCAGTTAGAATCATAGAATCATACAGTGCAGATTGCAGAATAGGTGAGTGTTAAACAGGCCACACAACTGGCAAATTACACTGGATAGAGGAAGTACCTTCAGAGCCATCCTGTGCTGTTCTTCAGTGATATTGATTACAAAACCTCCAAGTGGGAGAGCAGGACTGAGGGAGAATAAGTGACTGGGAGACTGAGCAGGTCAGTGGATGACTAGATAAATGACTGGATGGTCACATGCTTGACTGATGGGAGTGCATGTGTGGGTGAGTCAGTGAATGACTGGAGGTGGTTCATGAATGCGAGAAACTGGAGGCTGGACACGAGGATAGGACTGAAACAGCCACAAACCCCTCCATTCTCCTCCAACACAGGACACATACAATCAACACATTGGAGTGAAGCTCTGTAACCCTGTCACATCAAAGTGATGACAACTGGGGACAGGAACAAAGTGCTGACCTTGCCAGCAATGCCTAAGTCCTGTGGACAAATTTCTCCCTTAGCTTAATCTCCAAAAATTTCCATGTTATAAAGAAATGGGGAGGTGGTGGTGTCATAGAAATATCACCGGATTAGTAACTCAGAAACTCAGGCTCAAGGTCTGAGGACAAGGGTTTGAATCCGAGCATAGTAGCTGGCAAAATTTGAATTCAACAAAATCTGGGATCAAAGTTAACCTAATGGAAAACATATAACCATTTCTGCTTGTCACAAAACCCCACCTGGTTCCCTAGTGTCTTTTAGGGAAGGGAATCTGCCATCCTCACCTGGCCAGGTCTACACATGACTCCAGACCCCAGCAATATGGTTGATTCTGTAACGGCTAGCCATTCGGTTTCAGGGTAATTTGAGATGGGAAATAAATGCCAGCCTAGCCAGAAATATTTAAATCCCAAGAACAAGCATCAAAAAAAAAATCAGAATGATGGATTAAAACAAGGGTTTAACAATGACAGAAATATCAACTTAAATGGAAATTGCAGAGAGAAGGATCAGGCTGAAAACATAGCTGGTAATGAGGACAGAAAATAAAACTAGTGGCTGATAATAAGGTCAAAGTCAAAGGAAGCATGTTCTGAGATTTACAGTTCTATCCAAAACGACATTCTCATATATTGCAATGTACAGAATTGAATTGAATGGAGTACATCTCACAACTGTAAACTCATTCATCCATAAGCATGTAGATCTAAATGGCAAAATGTTTAAGAGCTTTGCCAGAATCAGGGAATCAGAAGACTGATCAGAAACCCCTCAACTGATGTAAGTCAGCCATTGTTGAACACAAAGATTAAGCAAGTTGTAGTGTTTGGGTAGCATTTCAGACATATTGGTGCCACTGTAATCAAAACAGAACTGTATTCCATTAGTGTATTGCATGATCCAAGCAATTCTTCATCAAATCTGGGATTGGAGAGTATTTCTGTGCTGTGTTTGGCATTCAACATTCTGGCCTTTGTACTTAGCATGAGGTTTCTTCTGATTTCATGGGTCCAGAGAAGACAACATATTTCAAAATTTTGTATGATGGAAGAGAATGATTCGGTTGTTAGAAATGTTGATCTAATTGTTAGGAATATTGCAACACTTTAGGCAAATTTTTAAGTCATAATTGAATAGTGCCAGCACCTGCATTGAAAGCTACATGGCATAAATCCACAAAGATTATTTAATTGCTCGCAACTTGATATGGAGGATGATGAATCTGTCATGACCAATTTGTTTTTGTTGAGGGTAACCATATCACTGCAGTTCTGTAGAAATTGTGTGGTATCCCTGAATTGGTCATTGAGAACATGGAATTTGGAACAAACAGATCAGCTATGATTTTACTGATTGGTGGGGCAGGTGCGAGGGACAGAATGATCTATTTCCACTCCTATTTCTTACGTTCGCATGAACTCCTCAATCTGCAATCGAACAAAATTCAGCTCATCATCATTCAGATGAGTACTGCACTGAGGACAAAGGTATATTTGTACAGAGAGAAAAATAAGTGCAAAGCAGCAGTATCTTGTTACTTCTGTTACTTCATCTTTTCTAATACCCGTATATTCTGCAAATTTGAAGTAATGTTCTGCACATAAATGTTTTTGTGCAAAAAGTGAAACTTCTAAATGACGTACATCAAGGATTTATCTTCACGTTTTTCGAATAATAGCTGTACCTGACAAAATCATGACACTTCAGTTCCTGAATGAGGCAAAATATTTAAGTACAAAAATCAGATGTGGATAAGAACAAATTTATGAGTGTGGAGTAATTATGGCCTCATTTTAAGGTGATTAAAAACAAAAGATTTGAACAAAAGATACCATCAAACTAAACACAATAAAAGCATAAGGAAAAATTGTGTCTTTATCTTACCTGACTGTCAGAATGTGCATTGGCTGAGAACGTCGCAGCTTCTGCCTTGGTGATATTGGCTGTGGCGACTTTGTTTCTGAACTCGCCAACTGACTACAGGCAAGCTGACCATTTTGGATAAGCGCAACGGTTTCTGACTGGGTACAGCATATAGAATATAAACTGTCAAATGAAGAGTTCATATCATTCACCAAAGCCTCCAGGTCTACATCATCTTCTGCAAGGAAAATAGCATGACATTTTTGAAGCTGCTTTAGTATTCGATATTGAAGAATTATTTTCATTAAGTATTTTCAACTATTGCTCATATGTTGCACTAGTGTTTTTATTACAGCCTTTTCACAACTCAATGCACTCAACTATATTTGGAGGTATGCACTAGGTTTTGCGGTAACAAATGTTATTTGGATTTGTACAAGTCAATTCACTTCAAAAACCTCAAGTTCCATAAGCAAAAATACACTTGTTTTTATGAAAGCAATGTCTCTATTTCCTGAGATAAATATGAAGTAGAAAAGGTGGAGAGATGAGATCAATCTACATCCTCTGAATTGAGGTTTATCCCAAATGGTCACAGATCAAGAAGGATCTGAAAAGTGTATTTAGCATGAAAAGTCTCAACATTTGACTCAGTTCATTGATCATATTTACATGGTTGGAAGCCCCGTTTGAAATATTTCCATTTGGTATCTCAGGATTGGTGCACGGTGATAGATGCAAAACGAAAGCTCTATCCACTAGCTCACACGGACACGAAAGATCTTACAGCGATTTGTAAAAGAGCCAGGACATTCAGTGTTTGGACTAAGTTATCCTTCAAGCAATACCTCTTTTAAAAAAAAAAATTGTATACTGGCAACACACTTGAACAGGAAGTCAGCGCCACTGACAACATCATTATACACCAGTACTACAAGGGAATCTGATGTGCATTCCCTCGCCCCTTCATTCTCGACTCAATTTGCTAGCTGTCTTGTTCTCTGCTCCCTGTTCCACATTCCATTCACCCTATGAAGAACCTGTGCCCTTTGGTTACTGTATCAGTGATTTAATAATTTTATATCTTATCCTTAAGGATCCAATCAAAATTTGTTCACAAATGTGACCATACCATGGCTTTAAGAGGGGTATTTTGTCCAGCTTTGTTTTTTGAAGAGCGGTTTTTAGCCATTGGTAAAAGAGCTGTCTCCTCCAAGCCAGTAAAATAAACAGCTTCTGAGGCCTTGGATTTTTCTTTTAAGTTGTAACAATAGAAGCAGCATCAATGGATGGAGTCAGGCTCCAAAAGAACCAGACTTTTAGTTTAGTTTTCAGCAATTGTTGGAGTTTTTAAGTTGGCTATAGATGTCTCTTTGTGTCTGCATCTCTCTCTCTCTCTCTCTCTCTATAACAGATTTTTCTTTCTGTTATGGTTAAAAGCTGCAGTTTTCTCTGCCAGAATTGCATGTGCGACAACCTATTTAACTCAATTTGTCTTTGCCAAGGGTGCGTTTTTTGGATGTTAGTATATTGGAACAGTTGCTGTTCAGTAGTTAAATAATCTATTATTCTGTTAAGATTTCCAAATGTGTTAAAGTTATACCAATTCTTTATTCTTTTATTTTATTCTTACCCCCAGTTAAAATACAAGTGTGTTTTGCTTAAAGCCGAGTAGTGTAATCAATCAAATTACAGCCGGAACACAGCACATTACACTTCCCTTAAATAAGATAAAGGTTAGAGCCTAGACTATCTTCTTGATATATTTGAAGGAGGCTTGCTCTGGTCCATAACATCAAGCATATTTTCAGTTCAATACTATATCTTTTTAATGGTGGTGTTTGCACGTGCTGTGAGTACTTCCCATGTAGGTGAGCTATCAGCAAAAAACAGCCTCAAAACAAAAATCCGCAAACAGATTATCTGGAATTTCTTTCAGTACTGTCAACATACAAGTTTATTTATACAATTGTAACTAAACTTCAAAAAAAAGACTTCAGTCGTCAAATGCTTTGGGAGATCTCAGTTGTGAAAGATACATTTACATGCAAGCTTTTTTATTTTTTTTCCAAGAACTACTGAACCAGTTCACGAAAATGAAATGGCTGGATATTCACAAGTTAAATCTACTTCTGAAACCAACAAAAGAATGAAACTCAGCAAAGTCACAAGCAAGATAAGAGACTGATATTCTGCCAGCAAGTGTGCTCAAGCCATAAAAAAATTATAAAAGAATACACACACCGAATAATTAAGACACATTGTATAGATATACTTAAATTAAACTGGCTAGATACATGAGGAAGAAAGAACAGGATATGTTGATAGGATTTGATTGGATATAAAGCTTAAGGAGGCTCATGTAGAGAATGAACACTGGCATAGGACTGCTACAATTATTTTTCTTGCATCTAGTACCAGTACTGTACAATAGCTTGATTTTTCTTGCTTGGGAAAGCATGCCTCACACTACAGTGACTGACTAACCAAGTGACCCAAGAACATGTGAAATTGCAGACTTCTATGAAAATAGATCATCACTACTCAATTCAAAACCTAGAACATAATTTTTGTCAGTTCATTCTAACTTTCAATGAAAAAAAGTTCACAGTCATGTCAATGATGAAAGTTGTATGGTAGAATTACATGCACAGAAAAAGAGAAGCAATATCATCTTGCACAGCAGATTCTGGACTATTTGTGGATTTACCTCTACATTTAGACTTTTTTTTGAAAAGACAACCCTGGCAGAACAGTGCTCAAATACAGACTCAAATTAATTTTTGACCCACGGGATATAAATCAGTGACTGAGGATGGAATGCCAAACAGGCATGGGTGGCTTAACAACACTGTGTGAACAGTCTTATTTGTTACTTTACTTTGATGTTTTCTTCGATTTACTTCAATTCACTCAGCTTCAGTAATTGCTCAAGCTAGTAAAGATCAAGTTCTATTGGACCATAGGGTTGTTCTCTCATTAGAGAGAGACCACTGGTGGTGGTTTAACCGGAGGGTCACCACCTCAAGCGAGGAAGAGATTGAGAAGCAGAGTTCTTCATGGTAACCTTGGATGGTATGGGAATTAAACCCATACTGTTGACATCATTCTGCATTGCAAACAAGCCATCCAGCCAACTAAGCTAACTGACCCCTGCTCAAATTAAAACACCAAAAAAATCACTTGTTATTTATAGAGAGACAAGAATATTAGCTGAAGTGAATAAAAGGATTTGGACAGACTAGGACAGTGGGCAAAGAAGTGGCAGATGGAATACACGGTAGCAAAGTGTGAAGTTATGAATTTTTGGCAGGAAGAAGAGGTGTAAATCATTTTCTATATAGGGAAGGGCTTTGAAAACCTGGAGCACAAAGCAACTTGGGAGTCCTAGTTCATGATTCACTGAAGACTAACATTCAGGTTCAAGCTGCTAGTTAGGAAGGTGAATGCAACTTTGGCATTCATTTCAAAAGGGCTGGAATATGATAGAGATATACTGCTGAGGCTATAATAGATTCTGGTCAGACTGCATCTGGAACATTGCGAGCCGTTTTGGGTCCCCTATCTGAGGATCTACTGGCCTTGAAATAAGTCCAAAGGAGGTTTGCAACAATAGTCCCAGGGATGAGATCATCATATGAGAAGGAGTTGAGCACTCTGGGTCTGTACTCAATCGAGTTTAGAAGGATGAGGCAGGATCTGTTTGAAACTTACAGAATACTAAGAGGCTTGAATAGAGTAGACGTGCAGAAGATATTTCCACTGGTAAGAGAGACTAGGACCTGAGGACACAATCTCAGAATGAAGGCACGACCAAAATGAGGCACAATTTTTTCAGACAGTGGTAAATCTGTGGAACTCATTGCCACACAGTGGAGGCTAAGTCACAGTGTATTTAAGAAAGAGATGGATAGGTTCTTGATTAGTAATGGTTAAAAGGGAGAAGGCTGGAGAATGAGGTTGGAGAAACATATCAAACACAATTGAATGGCAGAGCAGACTTAATGGGCTGAATGACCTAATTCTGCTCTTATATCTCATGGTCTAAAAGGATACTACCATAATACATTTTTGCTGTATGCAAAATTTCTGGTTCAAAACAGGAAATAATTTTCACTACCGTATTACATTTGTTCATAAAGAAAATACTGTATTGCACTTCACCTACATCATATGGCCTGATACAACACAAATATACTGAAAATAAATCATGATTTTAATCTCTATTGCTCTACCTACCGTCCCTCTCATACTCAAAAATATAGAAGCATCACTTTGTCCCACACTGCATATCTTTGTTCAATTTACTTCTTTTGATAACTAGTATGCTAACTTCTCAAAGTACATTTTTAGAGAAGTCTTCATTTGAAAAAAATTACAATTGTCTGAGTGGAACATGTCTAGGGGTGAAATAGGCAATTCCATGCCCAATTAAATCCTGGCGATAATCTTTGTATGACTTGAATCGTTCTCTAGTAAGTCGATCAAGTAGATTAAACCAAGACCAAATGTTGAGATTTCAACAGCTCCATACCTTTGGCATAATTTCCTCAATTCTGTTTTTATCTTTTCAATCTCATACGAAAGATGTGCAGTTGGGCATCCAACACTAGGTAACATTTTTCTCCACTACTAATCAAAGCATTCTTTTTCGACTTCGACAATACTGCCCACCTTTACAACCAACACTCCACTCCACGCCTTTAATAACTGTAGAAATTGTTATCAGTAACACTCTAAGCTGCAACACCAACTCAACTCTCCACAATCCATTATCCATCTAAAATACAACAGCTTATGCTCACATTCGCGGTGCGGTCATAATAATAAAGGTGAAGCTATACCAAATGCTCATCATTTATGAATAAATGAGAGTGTCCCTTTTGGTGTCTGCACATGCACAGTTGATGAACACAAATTAAGAAGTTGTCCACTTTGTCCTTCTCAACCACAAACCTCACTACACTGGCACACTGCCAATAGCCTCAGCATTTAAAATATGCTCACTATCAATATCAGAACAAGTCATGAATTTTCATAAGCATAAGTCAGTTACTACCAAACAACCACCACAGCACTAAAAATATTACTTTTAGACATAGAGTCACATTCAATCAGCTTTTGATCATTGTAAAATTGTCTTATTTTAAAAATTAATTTCTTTTCATCGGTGGCTCAGTGGCTAGCACTGCTGCCTAACAGTGCCAGGGACCCGGGTTCAATTCCACCCTCGGGCGACTGTCTGTGTTGCTCTAGTCAAATGTCAATGGCCACACTTCATTATTTTCTCTCACACTAAAACGTCTCTCCAACTCCCAGTGGAATCCTCTTCTTTAGCTGTTAATTTTTAAAGAAGTATCTCTATTTCTCCATCTCATTCAGTCCACCCATCATAATGTGAAAGACCTCTTCAATTCCCGAGAGCTAACTCACTTTTCTTCTTGGCCCATGCAATACCTTCTCATATTTCCCCATACAGAGCTGTGCAAGTCCCAGATCTTACTGTATTGTATCTTGTGAGAAGGGAAAGAGAAAATAGATCAGAAAAGGAAATTTTTAAAGAAACTCATAACAAAATAACCTCCTGTAGATAAATAGAATATACTTCACACGTGAAGGAGAATAGATTACCAAATGTGAAGGATTTTTTTAGTAAACATTTTAAGTACTGAGTAAATATCTGAACATAACAGTATAAGAAAGCTTCAAAAGAATGGTAACTATTAAAGGAGTCTTCAGTCTTCTTATACCAGTCCTTAAACAAAAACGTAACATCTAGATAAACCTCTGGCATCACCCCTATATTGAAGGAGCATTGAATGATTATGGCCAGTGTTTCTGCAATTTCCATCCTAACCTTCCTGGATACATTCTATCTGGTCCTGGTCAATTGTTCAAAGTGAAAGTCTAGCTAGCCAGTCAAATACCTCATTCTTCTTTGTGACTTGGGCAGCACCACCCTCCTTGGTAAAGATACGTACAGTGTACTCATTTAACTATGGCCCCAACTAAGTGTCTAAAAACCTTACATGGTCCCTCGTGAGGTCCACTTTTCTTTTTTCCACCATTTTGGTATTCATGTGCCTACAGACAACTCTTGGATTCTTTTTATTTTGTCAGCTGCCAATTTCTTTGTATACTCTGTTTTTCTTGCTTCTTAGGGACAACCCCTATTGAATTTTGTGTATTCAGCCTGGTTCTCAATTATATCATTCATATTGTTCAATATCCATTCATATCCTCAACCAATACAAAACTCATAGTTCTAAAACTCAAACCATTCAACTTATTAAGCATCCCAGTTTGTTAGGAGATAACTCCAAATTTACCCCGCCCATGAGGGGAAACAAAGTGTCTCTAATTTTCATCCTAATCTGGTCTCGTACTAATTATAAAATTGTGTTCCCTTGTTTCGAGATGGACCATTAACTTGTGTCCTTTTGACTAAAGGTAAGGGTGTTACCAATGAATCAACACTGACGCCCAACTAATCTATTTTTTCATTTAATTGCTGGATCTGTTGTATACAATTCCCGAAGGATTACAAAAACAGAAAGTAATGGAGAAACTGAGCAGGTTTAGTTATACAGAGAGAACAGAGATAACATTCTGGAGTCCAGTGATCTGTCAAAAGGGTCACTGGACCCAAAACATTAACTCTGTTTCTCTCTCTACAGATGTTGCCAGATCTGCTGAGTTTCTCCTGCACTCTCTGGTTTTGCTTCAGACTTCCAGCAACTGCAGTTCTTGGTATTATTTTAGTCTTTAGATGATGCTGCATTTGTGTCCAATTATTATACAAGGGTACTGAAATACAGCAACACAAATGTAACGAATGCAACTAAAAACTCTTTTCACCCTGGCAGCTGCATCAGTTTCCAACTCGGACTTTAAAATCAAAGTACTGTAGTCCAACCAATCATTGATCAGTTTCCTTAGCTGCTTCCGTTTGTGAACATGTGAACATTTCTGAGGAATGCTTGGTTTGGTCATGGGAGCTCCAAAAATTATTATACAGCAGCATTAATCTCTTGGCAAGGTAATGTGTCTTAAAGAAATAACCAAGGAACAAATACTAACCCTGGTGGTTAGGGGAGTTATGACTACAGGAACCTTGGAAACCAGGTCCAATTCCTTCTCTAGGCCTATGAGATGTCCGGTCAACATTATCCTGAAATAGAATGCAAAAATCAAATGCACGTCCACAGTTAAAATGATTTCTTAACCAAATTTCCCATGGTATTGTTGTTTGCAGTGAGAACATTAACATTTATGAATCAATCATATCAATAATACAATGCTATAATTTCAAAAGATTATATTAATGTGGTGATCAACACAAAACATGCACAAAAGCCTCCATTTCAGCAATGGAAACCTGAAGAACAGCAATCATTTAAAAACAGTGCTTTTGGAAACAGAATTCTTTAACCCATATACCATAAGCGGAGACAATGGCATAGTCACTAGACTACTAATCCAGAGACCCAAATAATATTTTGGGGGCCTGGGTTCAAATTCAACCAAACATGAAATTAGAAGTCTAATGATGATAGTGAAGCCATTGTTAGTTGTCATCAAAAGCCAAATGCCACTAGGAAATATAAAAAATAGGAACAGTAGGTCATTCAACCCTTTTGAGTATGCTCCACCATTCAATATGATCATGGCTGATCATCTAACTCAGTACTCTGCTCCCACTTTCTCCCCACATCCTATGGGTCATATCTAATTCCTGCCTGATTACATTCAATGCTTTGGCCTCAACTCCTTTCTGCAGCAAAGAATTTCACATGCTCACCATGCTCTGGGGGGAAGAAATTTGTCTTTACCGCAGTCTTAAATGGCCTACCTGTATCATTAAACTGTGACCCCTGGTTCTGGACTCCCCAGTCACTGGGAACATTCTTCCTGCTTTTACGTTATCTGGATCCATTACAATTTTATAGGCTTCTGAGATACCCCCGGCTAACTTTTCTACAGTCCAGTGAACATAATCCTAACCAATCCAGTCCCTCTTCATCCATCAGTTGTGCAATCACAGCAATCAACTTGGTAACCCTTCATCGTACTCCACTCACAGCCAGAATACCATTCCGCAGATAAGGAGACCAAAATGGCACAAATAATTCAGATACGGTTTCACCAAGGCCCTATACAATTGCAGCAAGAATCCCTGCTCCTGCACTTGAATCCTCACACTATGAAAGACAACATATCAGTTGCCTTTTTCACCATCTGTTGCATTTGAATGCTGAATTTCTGCGATTGGTACACAATGCCAACTAGGTCTCACTGCAGCTTCCCCTTTCCCAATATATTGCCATTCAGATAATAAACTCCCTTCCTGTCTTGGCTACCAAAGTGGGTAATCACTTGTGCATCTCCATTATATTTCAGCTGCCATGCATTTGCCGACTCACTCAATTGGTCCAAATCAAACTGAAGCATCTCTGCATCTTCCTCACAGTTCACTCTCCCAACCAGCTTTGTGTCATCTGGAAGCTTACAGATGTCATATTTATTGCATTTAGTTCTCTCATCTAAATCACTAATATCTTAGGAACAACTGGGGTTCAAGGAAAACTGCTATCCCTTCTAACTTGGCCTACATGTGACTCCAGAGCCAGACCTACACAAATGGCTCTGAGGTGCTCTCTGAAATGACTGGGTAAACCATTCAGTTGTATCAAACACTAAAATCTGTAAAAAGCAATGCCTGGTGTCCATGAAGGCACTGGAAATGATAAGCTCAATCTTGTCGGACCAGCAACATACTCCTTAGGGGCTAGTCCCAAAATAGGGAACTGTCTCTCAAATCATTCAAGCAACTGTCTGAACTAGGCATACTCTCAGAATCACATATTACAGACAATGCCCAAGAAACGCACAAACATCTCTGGGTACGCTACTGACAGGACAGACCCAACTTAGGTGGCGACACAGTGGTATACTGCAGGGAAGAGGTTGCTCTGGGAGTCCTCAACGTTGACATTGGACTACAACAAGTCAAATAATAATACCTGATTATGAAGTTCATAGAATCAGAGGGTTCCAACAATTAAGGCAACCATTTAGCCTGTTGCGCCTCCGTTTGCTCTTGGCAAGAACAACTCAGCTACTCCCACTGCCCTCGCCTTTACTCCATTATTCTTCTCTTTAGGCATTCAATCAATTACCTTGTGTAAAACTATTGAAACTGCCTCCATGTTATCAGGTAGTACATTCCAGGTCTTCACTACCAGTTGAGAAAAAAGTTTAACGTTGGCTCTTTAGAGTTTCTCTCTATCGATTCTGTTGAGATCCCACTATTTTGAATCTGATGAGATCTCCTCTAAGACGACTTCTCTCTGCAGTGTCAGTATTAAATAGAAAAAAAACTGCAGCAGGCTGCAACACAAAGGGACTTACGGGTACTTGTGCATGAAACACAAAGGCAGCACATAGGTGCAGGAGGTAATCAGGAAGGCAAAGTACTGTCAGCAGTTTTGCAAGGTTCACTAGAATGAACCCTGGTATGGAGGGATTATCTAATGAGAAAAGATTAAGCAGGTTGGGACTGTACTCATTGGAATTTAGAAGATTGAGAGGTGATCTCATTTAAACAAAATCGGATTCCTAAGTGGCTTGTCAGGGTAAATGCGGAGAAGGTGTCATCCCCACACCCCCCCCAGCCCCCATCTTCCACAGGAAAGTCTAGGAATAAAAGGAATAGTCTGAAGAATTAAGAGGTACCAATTTAAGAATAAGATGAGGAGGAATTGCTTCTCTCAGAGGGTTGAGAGTCTTTGAAACTTATGCCATACAGCACTTTGGAGGCAGAGTCCTTGTACTATATTTAAGAGAGAAAGACAGACAGACAAAGAAGACAGATAAATAAGACAAAGAGATTGACACAAGACAGAGAGATAAATAGATAGAAAAATTAGATACAAAAAGAAAAATTACACAGATAGAAATTAGAGAGAGAGAGGGAGAGAGAAGGAGGGGGAAGATAAAGAGATATCTAAAAGAACTATCTTCCAGGACAGCAGATACATAGGAACACCACCATCTTCAAGCTCCTCTCAAAGCCACTCATCATCCTGACCTGGAAATATATCGTCATTCCTTCAGTGTTGCTGGGTCAAAAATCTTAGAATTCCCTCCCTAATGGCATCGTGGGTCATCTGTTGGATTGCAGTGGTTCAAGAAAGCAGCTCACCAACAATTTCTCAAGGGCAATGAGGGACAGGAAATAAACGCTGGCCAGCCAGTGATGCCCACATCCCATGAACAGATGGACAGATCTGACAGAGATGGGAATTGAGGTAATGTCATTGACGTGGTGTGGATGAACTTCTAAAAGTTGTTTCATAAATTGCCACACAATAGACTTGCCAACAATGTTGAAGTCCATGGAATAAGAAGAAACGTGGCAATGTGAATACTAAGTTTGCTGTAAAATGGGGAATAATGGTGGTGAGGTTTGTTTTCTGCACTGAAGGAAGGTATACAATGTGGTTCCTCAGCATTTGGTACTTGGTCCTTCTTACAATAGACAGATTCTTGATCAGTAGGGAATCAAGGGTGCAGGGAAAAGTCAGGAAAATGGATGAGAGGAGTGTTGGATCAGCCATGTTCCTACTGGATGGTGGAGCAGACTTGAGGGGCTGAATGGCCTACTCCTGTTCCCGTGTCTTATGGTCTTATTCTCTTAACTCTCGTTCCCTCATCCAGTTGAGGTGGAACAAGTGATTTATAAGGTTCACGGCCTCCTTGCTGTTATACTGTATGCTTTTATTTATAAATCTCACAGGCTGTATGTTTTATTAACCATTTTCTCAGACTGCCATGCCATTTGAAATTACTTGTGTACATACACCAGTATTCCTGTGAGACTGCAGCACCTTTAAAATTGTACACTTAAGAACCTAGAAACAAGTGTAGGTATTCAACTTGTCAAGTCTGCTTTGCATTTAATTCGATCATGTTTGATCTCAATGTCTTTTACCCACATTATCCCCATTACACTGCACTCAAATCTCTTGCAATAAATGCTAGCATTTCATTAGCCTTCCTAATAGTTTGCTACACTTGCCTGGTGCCTTCAGTTATTTATTGACAAGAACACGCAGGTTGCTTTGTATATGTACACTTTGCAACCATTCACCATTTATGGAATACACTCATATCAACTCCTTGCACCAAAGTGGATAATCTCACCTACCTCGCTTTATTATGTCTCCTTATTATTCCTACTAAAACTTATACCTACACTTAGCTGCAGCTATTTGGCTGTCCATTTCACCAGCTTGTACACTCTTGAAGTCAATCACCAAGCACCACACAGTTCACAATACACCCAAAATTTGAGACACATTTCCATTGTGAAATTGTGCCCTGTACACCAAAGTCTAAGCTAAAAGACCAAGTACCAAATCCTGAGGAACTATATTGCAAACCTTCCGATGTTACATACATTCAGATACAGAAAGTTTAGTTTTGTTTTTTGTTATCTTTGTAGCATCTAGCCTTGCCTACTAGTATATTATTAGCTTATTTGTCTCTGTCCCTTTTTGACATTCTCTGACCTTCATTTTCCACACTATTACTTTGCTCTTCTGCCTCAATTCTATCCCTTGATTACATTTACCCAGACATGATCTTTTACATGCTTTAATTAGTTTAAAGCCCGTGAGAACACCAATCCCAGCACGACAGTCCCAACAGTACATATGTCACTTCCCCCAGAAGTGGTGGCACAGCCTCACAAACCAGAAACCAATTCTCTCATACTAGTCTTTGAGCCACATAAGCATTTTCGTATCAGATTCATCCTATGCCACTTTGCAAGTGGTAAGAGTCATAAGCCAAAATTTTTTCTATTTGAGGTTCTGCTTTTCAATTTAGCATCTAACTTGTATTACTCCCTCCCTTCCTGGTTCTACCTATGCTTGTAGTACTGATTAGGACCATGACCACTGGATACTGTCCTTTGAAATTTCTTCTCCAGCCCTAAGCAGATATCCCGAATCCCAGCACAGACAAACAACACGTCACCTGCAACAGAGAACAATTCCAAATTCTCTCACTACACTGTCCGCCATGACCAAAACATTTCTTCTAACTGTTTCCTGCACAACCCTCAAAAGTAAAGGACAGGTAGAAATGTAGATTCGTGATGGCATT